GTCTGGGAAAGACAATGGTGCTAATATGCTAATAATTCCTATACAGTATTTAATATGTAAATATGCCTCAATAATGATTATCTCAGGCAAGGCCACCGAGGCTGGAACTGCAGGCCTCAAGGCCTCCATATCCTCACAGAGTTGCACAGAGAGCTCCTCTACGAGGACCCCCACACACAAAACCACTGCCAAGTGCATATGCAACCTGTGGTCCTCTGCCAGCAGAGCCCCTGGAGAGCACGGACAGCTGCACATGAAGCTGCCATTTGCCCATGTCCTTGGTGAGTGCTGGAGAAACAGGCAGTCCTTGAGTGAAGCAAAGAAAGTGCTGTCCAAGAATATCTGAAGGACAGAACTTGCCTCCTGCCAATCAAGCATGCAGGGCCAGCAGAACATTTGTCAAGCTCCAAGGAAAAGACAGGGTCATCAGCCAACCAGGATGAAACTAAAACCTCACAATGCAACCAATAAGCTGAGATAGACCCATACTCAATAGAGGTTGGGTCCATCACTGAAAAAGAGGTCCAAATTGTGCAGGAGGCACCGAAACATGCCCACATGAATGCCCGTACTGAAGGCGAAATGTAGGATGATGGAAACCTCCAGAGATACAACAACTCTGAGGTACCGAACAGAACCTGGAAGCACTGAACAGAACTTGGAATCAAACCTGAGGGAAAAGGGGAAACAGCCAAGCAGTCAAACTCATACATGAAAGGGGAGGAGGGATAAGAAAATTCTCCTACTAGACCTTACACAAAGAGAACAAAGGTCAACAAAGGGGTGGACTCAGGGACCCTCTTTGAGCTCCCCATCAGCCCTGGAAGCCTGCCATGAAGGCTCTGAGGCAGAGCCATAGTCCTTACCTAATACCCGAGACAGAAAGGCATCCACCCAAGAAAAAGGTATAGAGCTGGAGTGTGGCAGAAGGCAGATGCCCCAAAACCCCTGGGGGGACTCAACCACAGTCCCACCCCTGTGGGACTGCTGCTAACCAAGTAGGAATTCCAGACACTGGGGCTGCTCACCAGAAGAAAAGACCAAATACAACAGAAACAACCACGCACGCTTTTATTGTCTTAATGGTGATAATGGCAATACCAGAAGTGATGCTAGTGTGTATATGAATGCGAGGCTCTCCACACCGATGGTCTGGCATCTCAGAGGCAAGCTCTCAAACATATTAGAGAAGGTAACTATGTCAGTGCAAGGGCATCATTGCTAGCAGACACCCAGGGAAGAAAACCATGAGTGCATGCAGGCTGAAGTGCAACAAAGACAAGCTCATACAATAAGCCAGAGGGATATTACACACACGAAGCTAAGCTAAAATAAAGGAACACAACAAGCAAATGACAAATAAACAGCAGGACAAATAAAGTCTAAAGACTGCTGGCATTTAACTGGAAGGAGATGCCTTGCCCACGACTGGTGGACCAAAGCACTACAGGTAGCAGTTGCCAGCAATACATCAGCAACAGAACTGCGAAGGGAAGCCAGCTGAGGGCAGGAGCCAGGATGCCTGGTGTAGCAATCAGTACTAATGAGTTTCGAACTAGTTTGAGTGAATCTCTTGTTCTCTGTGACTCATTTGCAGAGTTCTTTGGAAGTTTTGAGGCTTCATTTTCTGTGACCCATCTAGCTGTCTGTAATGCTTTCTTGACTTTTCGGATGCTTTACCGGTGGGGTCACTGCACCTCTGTGAACGAGTCAGGTTCTGACTCTGGCTCGCAGTAAGCCAAACAGAATTTCTGTGACTGATGTGATCCCTTAACTTGGAGCAATCTCAGTAAGATAATGCCAGGGAGTCACTGGTGAATTTCCCCAGAAAGTCTACACGGGAAGAACAAATCTTCAGGCCACAAAGATGGGTAAAGTGCAAACACAGATCTTCCTCAGAAAAATTCAAAACTCTTGAGACTTGCCCCCATCACAAAAGTGAAAGGGCTAGGAACATAGCATACAGGGTGGCCTGGGCTGCCACTTGGTAATAGGTAGGAAAAACAGGATTGGTATAATTACACAGTGGGTCGGTGGTTGCCTTGTTGCCTGCCACTTGTGTGCCAGTTACTTTTAATTTTGCACTTGCTTGTTTTGTTACACCTGTTATTCCTGGTGGGGTCTTCTCTCAGTTTAGAAGATCATTTCTAATCTCTAGCTCCCCTCACCTCTTTGAGGTGGGTTAGGTTTCCAATCTTGTCTCCCAATAGGTTAGAGCAAGCTTTTGGGGGCTGGTGTAAGACAGCCAAACCTAAGACACAGTTCGACTAGCGCTTAACTCTGGGAAGCCACTGGTGGATTCCCTCCACACAGTCTTATACACTGTGTCATGAATTTATGCAGGGTGTTTTCGAATGAATCTGTACAGATTTAGAAGTACTGTACAGTGTACCTGTACATATATAACTCTGCAATTGCCTAAACACCCTATTGGATTGCTTTCTATACATCTGATAATGTTTTAATCCTTATGCATCAACATGCCTAAATATCAGTACTTTGGTAGTTACTGAAGTACAGTACTACATATTGGGAGCTTTAACACAATTGGTTTTCATACTATGCCTTACTGCCATGTTTCTCATACTATGATATATATGATGAGATATACTTCTCATACATAGTCTTACTGCTATGTTACTGGCTATAAGTTAGTTGGCATTACCATCCTGGTACATACCATGAGATAGGAATGGTTCCCAAGGATATCATGTATTTTACCCAACGTTATTATACAGGGTATGTGGAAGCTGGTCAGAATTGCATTTCTCCTTTGTAAATGCACATTAATGACACTATGTAAAAAGACACCTCAAACACTGTTTATGTAGGACAGACGTAAATACGCATAAATCTGCGTACTTATGTTTGTAGGTTAGCTTAGCATATTAAAAGCACTACAATCACCCTTCTGTGGTTGATTGTTCAACAAATCACTGAATTATATGTTTAACAGATCTGTAACCCTGTCCATGGGGGACAGAAGAAAATGTATAAATGCTGATTAGCATTGTAAATGTGTGATGATAATTGTCCAGCCACTATCAGTTGCTGTCAGGAAAGTTGTACAATTGTTCCACATGATCTCAAATGCCATATTGTGTTAAAGTATTCATTTGATATATTTAGGATGGGAAGGGGGAAGAGAAGGGGGAATTATCAGGGAAAAGTGGCAAGCCATTATGACAATATAGCACTTGGAAGGGATCAGGATAAGGATTTGAGATGGGACTGGGGGAAAGGAATGGTGCCTAACCACTTGCATGACGGTCTCGCATGAAGCGAGACCGTAGATATACTGTTAGGGAGGGAGGGGGGGGGGAGTGTTAAAGTGTGAGAATCTAATATTAAATAGTTTATTATGAATTTTTTATCAATTTATTAATTTTTGTTGTGTTTTAATGCAATTAATATGCTGAATAATAAAAATATTGTATTCAGACAAATCGCATTATCCATCAGGCTTTTATTGTCTTAATGGTGATATTGGTAACACCAGAAGTGATGCCAGTGTGTATATGAGTGATGACAATGATTTTAGTGATAGTGATAAAGATAATGACAGTGACAGTGATCAAGTTTACGTGGCAGGGGGAGATTCAAGTAGCATTGTCGGGGTGTCAAGGGAGTCGACAACCATCCCCCAAAAATTCATTTACAATCTAATAAAATAGGCATACCTGCGACAATTTTCGCTTTTCTTGCTTTAGTTATTATTTGAATTATTTGTAATAATTACAAAACTATTTTATTATAACATATACTAGATTTCTAATTATGGAATAATTAAATTTAGCAAAGACAAAACTCTTATGTAATCCTCCCAGTCTATCCCTTTGGAAATGCTCTAGAAATTGTAACCACCTTTCAGATCATTTATAGTTTTTACCATGAACAGACAAATAATTATCAACCAAAATATTTTCAGCAGCATAACAGTAGTGACATTTCTGGGTTTTGTGCATGCTGTCTTTGCATGCCTGCTTTGTCTTTGCACGCCTGCTTTGTCTTTGCATGCCTGCTTTGTCTTTGCATGCCTGCTTTGTCTTTGCATGCCTGCTTTGTCTTTGCATGCCTGCTTTGTCTTTGAATACCTGCATTGTCTTTGCACACCTGCTTTGTCTTTGCATACCTGCTTTGTTGATGTTAATGGAAAATGCTTACTATGGAAGGGAAGGTGGGGGGGAGGACCTTCAAGGTTAACAGAAAACCTATATTGGGCACACATTAAAATAACAATAAAAAAGCCTATTAAATTTATGGATCTATGCTATTTTATGTAATATATCTACAACTTTGGTTTAATGAGTATTCCTTACCTCAGTCTGTGAATTACATAAAAGATTTTAATAAAATAATTTTGGTCCTTGGGAAAATACTGCTGTATAACATTTGCACACATTTTCATTCGTCTTAAACATCAAAAATTGTATGATGAAACCAAGTCAGCATAAAATTAATATTAGTTAAATATGATTGAAAAAAGTCACACAGATGATTGTGTCATCTAATAGTACAGAGATGTACTATTAATGAATAGGAATTATAGTACACCTTTGCCTATTTCTAGACCCAGTGAATCTATGGCATTAGTCATTACACACACAGAAAACTTTCTTAACCACTGCTTGCGCAAAGCGCCTTTAGGCGCTCAGAGAGTTGTGCTTTTTGTTTTTTTTGCATTTTTAATGTTTTTAATGTTTTCTTAAGATTTGAAATGGCAATACCAACTTTGGAACATTTTGACATTAAATTCTACATAAAAATAGCAAAAAATGTCCTCAATTGCAAAGACGTTATAAAATAGGTGATAGTGCATATATATCTTCTTTTTGTATTTTTGCATATAATCCTTAAGATATGGCATACCAACGATATTCTACTATAGCAAAAATATATATATATATAGGATATATATATATATATATATATATATATATATATATATATATATATATATATATATATATATATATATATATATATATATATATATATATATATATATATATATATATATATATATATATATACACACTTCTATACTTAATGAAAACAAGTACACCGCATTACATACACATTATAATTATTTTCAATCACTTGAAAAATATCACGAGTCTCCATGAAGATGCTCTAAAATATACATTCAACTACAGTACCATATTCCTCAGGACTTGATGAAGAAAATAACACTCACTTCTCCAGTGAATGTTAGCCAAAATAACACTATCTGGTCACGCAATGTTTTGATCTCACCTGAAAAAAATAATCACTATATTCATATAAAATCATGAAGGCATCAACATTTAAGAGAGCATTGCAATAATTTCTAAAAGATATAGAGAAAAACATGAAAAGGTTGAAAGGTTAATAACAGTATTTGGAAAGCACTTGTATGTTGACAATATCGAAACAAAATCTCCTCAAATAGCAATGTGTGCGCCTAAATTCTCCTCCCACTCTCATACAATCTCACTGATAACACTATAAGAACACATGTAACTTTTATAATGAATGAAATACAGTATCCAGAGGCTAAAACAGTTTCCCATTAGCTTCGAAACTGTAGGAGAATCATCTGTCTGATGATTCAAATGATAGGTGGTGCTATGAGCAAAGTATCATGATTAACACATTTTTAAATTTCCTGGAGAGCAGTGTGTCATGTTTTATTTTACCATAAGAAAAAACAAATTTGAAATTTTTGTTTTCAAAATATTAATGCCTCTCCTCATCCCCCTTGTCTTGCCTCTCCCCTCATCATTCCCTTGTCCTGCCTCTCCCCTCATCATTCTCTTGTCCTGCCTCTCCCCTCATCCCCTTGTCCTGCCTCTCCCCTCATCATTCCCTTGTCCTGCCTCTCCCCTCATCCCCTTGTCCTGCCTCTCCCCCTCAGCATCCCCTTGTCCTGTCTCTCCCCCTCAGCATCCCCTTGTCTCCCCTCATGGATAGAGGGATGGATAGTTGAACAGATAGTTGGAAAGATGGACATATGTGGACTGATAGATAGACAGAGATGTGGACTGATAGATAGACTGATAGGTGGATAGATAGATAAAAGGATAAATGGGAGACAGGCCCAGACAATTTTGGGTATCCTCCTCCCAAATACTATAGGAGAGAATGTCTGTTTATCTGTCTTGGGACTAGCCTAACCCAAATTTGTGAGGGGAAATGGTCTGAGGTACAGGACAGACATAGACTGGGTCCAGTATGCCTAAGTTAAATACTTTAAGAAATATTAGCAGTTATAAACATTACTATGCCATTTTCATGGAAGTAATGCCACTGACATTTAAACAAAGACATGCAATACTGTACCTTAAGCTTAAGACGAACATGCACAGAGTCGGTGGTGCGGACCATTACCGTCCAGCTGCACTGTATCTGGAAGTGGCATTCTCTCCTGGAAATGCAACAAGGAGACTATATTTTGGAGCAACATAATTTCTTATTTCATGAACAAATATACTGGTACATACAAATAATTCAAAAGTTCTTTCATTCAAATTTTTATTTGTATACGCTTGTTGTTGCAGAATTCATTCTTTCTACACATTGGTTACCATAATCCTTGCACTCGAGCACGTATATGAAATCTTTGACATTTGACATTTGCTCTGGTTTTCAAAATTCTTCATTTATTTTTTATTATTTTCCTATTTTTTATTTAAGAAACATGGAGCAGCCTACCTGCCGACCACTGAACAAACCTTTTGCTTTAAGACAAATGATAAATAAATATTGAACAAATTTGAAGAATGAAAAATGTCATAAAGGTTTGTTCAGTGTATGTACAGTAGGCTGCTCCATTATTTAAAACATCGAATATCATATTGATCTTTTTCGGTGGTAAAACAGATTAATTTGATTTCCATTAATGTCAATGGGGACATTCGTTTTGTATGACGTCCATTTCACATGACGACAACGGCGCCAGAATGGATTAAATTCGTCATTCGAGGTACCACTGTATAAGAAAATTCACTTTTACAGAGTGGTAGACGGTTAGAACAAGTTAAGTGAGAAGGTGGTAGAGGCCAATAACGTCAGTAGTTTCAAAGCGTTACATGACAAAGAGTGCTGGGTAGACGGGACACCACGAGCGTAGCTCTCAACCTGTAACTACACTTAGGTAATTACATACATACAATACATGTATGGTTAAATATGACTGCATTGCTGATCTTACATTGTAAGCTTTCTATGCTTCTATTTCTTCAATACAGTATCAGTACTAAGAAGAGTAATCAGATTACCAAAATTCATGGTAAAGAAATTGTAGTAATTATTGAAGGATTTATTTTCTACAATGTTTCGTTCCTCTCTGGAACCTCTGACAAGACAAACAACTTGTTCCCAGGATGGCTGATCGAGGAAAATGCCAAGCATTTTCATCAGCATATGAAGACATGTGGAGTGGATCTGGTGTATGATAGATGGTCATAGGGCCTTTAGGTTGGTCATGGCATTAAGTGTGTATGAAAATATGTGGGGAAAGCATTCTGCTGATACAGAAGATGCAGAGGAGCACGTTTTCAAATTTGAGGAGAGCACGCAAGATGATCCTTAAACTCTGATCAAGTATGTTTATGCTGCTGAAACAAATTTGTACTGGTGCCAGCTGCAGTTATATACAGTATATGTATATTTGTGAATGTGATGGTACGGTTAGCTTCAAGGCAGGCAAAGAGAGGTTGTCTGTGTTTTCCTGTGTAAATGCAGCTCATATGCACAAATTCAAATGGCTTGTGACTGGAAAGTCTAAATTGAAGGCTGTTGAAAGGAATGAGATGTGTCACTGTGATTTATAAGGCTCAGGCTTGTACACAGATTAAGAATAATATTTTGTGACAGGTTTTCAAATTATTCTGTACCCAAGGAGAAGGACTATTTTAATAGTTTTGGCCAACCAAACTTAACTTAAACATCATTCCAAGATTATATGTGGAGGAAAAACCTGGACTTTTGGTTGAGTACCCATATTATGATTTTTTATTATAAGAACAATACAGTATACTAAAGTGCTTTGTTTAAAGCATTTTGAAAAATTGTATAATATTGTGATGTATTTTTAGATATAAACTTATTCTAATCGTTAATTTAGATTGGGTTTGCAACAATATGATCCAGATTTTGGAGATTCCACTGAATGTAAATTAGCTACATATAATTAAATCCTTACCTGCCTTCCTTCAATATTGGCCCATCGTCTTAAACACATCATAAAAGATGCTTCCACATTAGTGGCATCTTTAGCAGATGTTTCAATGTAAGGAAGATCTCCATTCTCTTTGCACCATGCTTCTGCATCTTCTGATGTTACTCTTCGTTCAAGATCAATCTGTTCAAGAAATATATTTATCTCTTAGATTATAATAGATTGAGAGGTCATGAATTTTTTTATAGATAAATCATTTAAAAATCCAGCATTGTATGTAATAAATTGCCTCTTTTTGGTTTGTCCCTTCGTTGGCTCCCTGGAAGGTGCTTGTGGTTTAAAGGGTCTGGCGGGCTGCCTTAGGCTTGAAGCAAACCACATGGTTAGCTGAGGAGCCACCAAAGGGAGCCCTCCCAGAAATACTGTATTGAGTGTCATGAAATGCTACTTTATGAAGGGGACCCTTTAATAGTTCCTGGAGTTTAGGTAGGTAGGTTTAGTTTAGGTAGGTAAAGATATAATTATTCATTCAGTGCTGATTTATTAATATAAAACCTATAATGAATACTGCAATTATATTAAAATCCCAAATAACTCAGGAGATATTAATATAAGAGGTAAGATAACAAGAAAAAGCACTAAGCCATTATGACTATATAGTACTTGGAAGGGGAATGAAGATAAGGAGTTAAGATAGAACGGAGGAAAGGAATGGTGCCCATCCTCTTGGACGGTCAAGAATTGAACACCAATCTGCAAAAAGCGGGACCATCACTCTACCGGTTGTGAGAAAAAGCAGATAACCAGAAATTCCAGAGAGACTCCCACAAACTGGCAAAACAGCAGAATAAAAGACAAACTATTAGATAGGAAAATAAAATTTCTGGGCGTGCTTTCAGAGCTAAAAAGTTTCATATAGTAATATTAATGGAAGAAACATAGACTATCATAATACCATGTTATCAGTTTTAAATAGGAGTTACCTTATTTCCAACTACAAGAAAGGGGAAATCGGCTTTGACATCAGCATAGTAAACAAACTCCTTACGCCATGTGTCTAAGTTTTGAAAGCTTGAAGGATCATCGACAGAGAACGTCAGAAGACACATGTCAGAGCCTCGATAAAAAGGTGTTCGTAAGCTTTTGAATCTCTCTTGGCCTGCAGTGTCCCAGATCTGCAAAAAAAAAGAAAAAAATCTATACAAGAAAATATGGAAATACCGATTCAATCTAGAAACTCTTAGATTAATGTTTTCAATTGACAACTTCTGAAGGTTATTTGTGCATCAGACACAAAATACTGAGAAAAGGTTAATTTTTCCTTAGAATAAAGACCTAAGGTGGCAAATGCCACAAGATGGATTCTTTTTTTTAAAGTTTTCAAGCTCTTCAAAGCTTCAAGAAGCATAAAATTTCTAATAAACAATGATTAATTCTCGTGTGAAAACAAAATAATAATTTTGTTAATCATATACTGATAGGATTTGAAATTAAATTATACAATGGCAAATATATAAATTGAAAATATTTGTTAATCTAGGCATGAGAAAATTTAAAGCCACCAGAATGAAAAAAAAAATTGTCAAAGATGTTTACCACTGTAATGCACCCCTATAAAATATGACAAGCTCCCAGTGCAGAGAGAAAAAAAAAATTATTCCTCCAAAATTGTTTCCTCTTCTTTTATTGTTAAAATGATCACAGGAAACTAAGAAAAAAAAATACTGTATGTGACAGACTTGGGCCATAATGGGAAGAGAAAGTCCGGCAATATTCCCGCGCTGATACGCTTGCTCCAGCCAAGCAGTGTGGCGGGGGCTGCCACTAATACATAATTATTACATAACTAGTTCTATGTCTTTGAATGGTTTTATAAAAAAAAAATTCTGTAATATTATTCAATAGTGTGTGCAGTAATTTGAGAAATTTATATACGGTTAAATGTGTGGAACTTCAGCATGCATAAAAACATGGCGCTTATATCTAGTGACACGTATATAAAATTCTTAGATCAATAAAACAGTGCTTTTTGCTGTTATTACACTACATACACATGTTATATACACCATTTTTATATTACTACTACTTTGATCATTTCTTTCTCTTTTACAACTTGTGCACATTTCTTTTATTTCCACTTTGTGCTTTCCCCAGCCCTTTATTAACCTGCTCTATTTGAGTTATCAATGAAGCATCTCTGAGCATACCTTTGCCTAACTCCCCCTTTGGACTGGCCTGCAGGATTACTCCGAGCTGTTCTCTATATCAGTCTATTTTTCCTGTTAATTTCTTCAAATTCACCACTTTTCATTTTCCCTATCTCATTATCTTCCGCTAGTTCCTTGATTTGTGCCTCCTCTCTCTTTAGCTTATTAGTCCTGCTGGTAATTTCCTTACCTTGCTGTAAAATGCTTCCCTTTATATTGCAAAATTCATTCTTGCGACCTTCATTTTCTTGTGACCTGTACTAATTTAAGAACTTTTCCTTCATAATTCCTAGAAAGTCCTTATTAATCACTAACCTGCCAAGAAAACCAACTTTTATTATTTCTTGCACCGAGAAACCTTAGAGACATTCATCTGGTGGTGTGCTGCCCTTCCTGTGGTGGTGGCCATCTTGGTTACCTGGTTGATACCTGGTTACCTGGTTGATGGGGTTCTGGGAGTTCTTCTACTCCCCAAGCCCGGCCCGAGGCCAGGCTCGACTTGTGAGAGTTTGGTCCACCAGGCTGTTGCTTGGAGCGGCCCGCAGGCCCACATACCCACCACAGCCCGGTTGGTCCGGCACTCCTTGGAGGAATAAATCTAGTTTCCTCTTGAAAATGTCCACGGTTGTTCCGGCAATATTTCTTATGCTTGCTGGGAGGACGTTGAACAACCGCGGACCTCTGATGTTTATACAGTGTTCTCTGATTGTGCCTATGGCACCTCTGCTCTTCATTGGTTCTATTCTACATTTTCTTCCATGTCGTTCACTCAACACACATTTGTTGGTTGTTGACATTCCTTTGTTTGAAATATCAACTTTACCAATGCAGATTTTTCACTCATTTTTGCCTATTTCTATTGTCTTAGACATATAATGGTGGATAAGCTCCTAAGCCACCCATAAAAAATTTGAACACAGTTTTGAAATGTTCATTTGCTTGTGAAAATACATGGTAGTTTCAAAAAGTAACCAATGCTGCACTGGCATTTTTATTCCATTGTGCTTCTGCATAGGTAATTCCCATGATACACCAACACCCTTTACTTCAGGCTGACCAAATATTGTTTTGGAAGCAAATGTCTTATCAGTTTCTGTTTGGTTTACAATATGGTTTCCAGTGTTCAGGAAGCGCGTTAGGCTTATCAACGTCTTCTTAGTTACCTACTTATTGCTGGTTGAATGTATGAATTGGGTGGGAGGTAAATCTCTGATGAGGCCTTACGTGCTAATGAAGCCATTTAAAAGAAAATTTCTGATTATTGCTGATTGCAAATTCAATCTCTTCCAAGTATACAATACAGTACTGTACTTATGAAAATGTTCATGTTTGGGGCACATGACACTCAAGACACTGGTTAGTAACAAGAACGCATCATGAAATTGAACCCATGACCAATTGGTTGCAAGTAAAAATGCATAACTGGTTGAAATGTGGAACAGATTTAAGTGTCCAAATTTAAAATGAACCTTAAAAATCTAATCAGAAAAAGGTGGGTATGGTACAAGCCACAGGCTTCCTGTCTGTGACATCACCTTAAAAAATTATGGTTGTCTGATTAATTCAGGCACTCTACCGTACTATACTTAAGTATGGTACTGTGCAGTACTTTACTTCATTAGCATCCCAACTAAATTTATGAGAATGGTAAGAACAGAAATAAACAACAACAGTATACAGGAAAAAAACAATTATAGAGCTTTACATCTATTAAAAAATACGTGGCGATAAAAGGCTGAAAGTGTTTTTGATGACAGGTCAACAAATCTGAACTATCAAACAATTCATTGATAAAAAATATTTGAATAAATTGCAGGCGATGAGTCTGAATAAATTGAATAAATTGCCCTAAAAAATATACTAGGAAGCTAATCAACCAAACATATTTTAATGGCTTACCTGTAATGTATATGTTTCGCCTCCAAGTTCAATCTCCTTATTCAGAAACTCAACACCAATAGTGTGGAAGGAATGCTCATCAAATCGATCAGTAACGAAACGATTCATAAGACAAGACTTGCCGACACCACCATCTCCAAGGATCACAACCTGTAAATGCATAATGTTGATTATCCTTTGATTCGTTCAGTAATAGAGTGTTCAGTGTAGTAATAGAGTTCATTCTATAGAGTGCACTCGGAGCATCCATACAGGTATTAGTTCAGAAACAGTCCTTTCTCATTATTTTTATATACAGTATATTACATTAATCAATGGGCAATCAAGAACATAAAGAACTGTACTGAATGTACAGTACTGTATATCTACAATAATACTGTATTGAAATTTGTACAGGTATTACTATTATTGTTTTGGTTTAAATTATATGAAGGCTTATACATAAATCTTTCTTCAAGATAAATTGAATACCTACCTTAAGAACTGTTGAGCGGCCACGGCTGTTCTGTCTTCTATGATTATTGTTCATCTTGTCCTGCAAGAAAAATACAAGCAAAAAATTAATATAGCAAAAATAAAATTTCAAAATGTCAAGCTTTAATAAAAGCAATAATAAACTTTAATAAAAGTCTGAGTCTGATTTGAGCATATTTTCACTGCTTCATCTTTACTTTATTTAAACTTAAGAGACCTGTTACCAAAAGGCCCTTTTTCTGTAATACTATCTCTGGTAGGCAATGCGACTTATCTGTGAGGATCTTGATATACAACTTTATACATTTCCAATCAACTCAAAGCTACATGCTGTCAGCCAGTTATCAAGGCGTGTCACCGCAGTGACACGCCTTGAGAATCATGAACCCTAAGAGGATTGATAGCCTTTCCTATACCAATCTGCAGGATGAGCAGGGAGGTAAGCTGTGTGTCACTTGTTTGTGCTGAGGACTGAAAAAGCTGTGTGCCTCCTGTTTTATGCTAGGTCCTGAACAAGCAGTGCACCTGTTGTCTGTGCTGTGGTTTTGAACAAGTCATGTGCATGCTTTCTATGCTGGAGATTGAACAAACCATGTGCCTATAATCTGTGCTAGGGACTGAACAAATAGTGCACCTGCTGTCAGTGATGGGGAGTGAAGCAGGTACATGTGAAAATAATATGGTTAGTTCTTAATGAGCCTATGAGGCCTATGGAGGGTGCCAGATGCTGGTATTCAAACATGTTCCATTGACAGGTCTTTGATCATGTTGAACATTGGGTCATATCATAAAAACTGGCGAGTGTTAACATGGTCTGGTATTCACTCACAGGTGTCTATGATATGACACTGACTCGGTGTCACATCATGGAAACCAGTGAGTGCTAACATCTGATATTTATATGCAATGTATTAATAATTTGTGTGGTGCATTTTGCAGGTGATTTGAAAAAAGATTTGTCTATTTGAATACCTATTATTACTCTTCCTAGCTCTCTTCCAGTCTGTCAGCCTCAGCTAGGGGATCCTACATCTACCTGAAAGAAAAAACTAATTTATTTATTTTCAACATCATTTTCTGACGAATAAGAAAACAAATTTCCATATGATTTTTATAAAGGACATGCACCTTTTGTTGAAATTGTTGGTCACAAAAATGTTCTCCAAATGTTGACCAGACCACACACTAGAAGGTGAAGGGACAATGACGTTTACAATCAACTTGAGAATGGTCCAGGACGGGCCGAAACCTCATCGTCCCTTCACCTTCTGGTGTGTGGTCTGGTCAACATTAGCCACGTTATTGTGACTCATCGCCTGTATGTTCTCCAAATGCTTATTTATGGATATCTACCATATTAACATGTCATTGTGGTATAAACATATGCAAGTGCTGCTCTTGTAATTTTTTTTGTTTTACTAAATGATGTAGGAATTTTTTTTTTTTTTAACCAGCCAATGTACGATGACCAGAGATCGTCCAAATACGGGTGACACTATCATAGTCTTGAATCCAACACAACCACATTCTTAAGGATAGGATGTGGTTCATTATTCACAATCAAATTACTCGCTAGAATACAAAATTTTCTGCGATGGAGTCTGCTTGCCAACGACACATAGAATGGAACCGTTTACCACAGGCTCTGTCGACCCTTGGCTGATCGCTTCAAGTGTGCGCAGAATAACAGTGTAAACGAGATATTTACCAAGCTGACTGGAAATAAATATTGTACAGGGTACTAAGAAAATATACGAAATGAGTGAATAATCAAACTGTGCCACACCCTACTAGATATGCAGAATTGGTCGCCTACACGATTATCATCACTTATTCAAGATAAAATCAGCAGATATAGACAAATAAATACTAGACAACGCACCTTACTGCAGCCAATAGGGGCCACAGGTTGAACAGAATGAAGGAGAGACGAATAGGCCAAATATTCTTCTTCTGAACAGATATGGAGAAAGAAGACAAGACGGGGAACAAATAAATATGTCGTATAGCTGGCGTGTCAACAAGAAGATGGAGAGGAGGTAAAGAGAGGGGGGGAGGAAAAAAGAAGACTTTCTCTACTTGCAGCCAGGCGACAGCCACCTCGCCCGGGGTTTGTTTACAGCGTCACACGTCAGGTGGTCTCGTGATGCTCCGCAGAAAACGGCACCAACTTGCTGGGGGGACCCCTATACACCTCCTGGCTCTGGGGGGGACCCCTATACACCTACTGCCTGTGGGATACCCCTATACTCCTCCTGGCTGTAGGGGGACCCCTATACACCTCCTGGCTCTGGGGGGGACCCCTATACACCTCCTGGCTCTGGGGGGACCCCTATACACCTCAACAAACTCACCCTTAACATTGACAAAACCTTTTATATTCTGTTTGGCAATAAATCCTCTAATCAAATAAATCTCAAAATAAACAATACCCAAATTTGTAACAAATTAGATGGCAAATTCCTTGGCATTCTCATTGACCACAAGCTTAATTTCCAGGGACACATTCTAAACATATCAAAAAAAGTTTCAAAAACTGTGGGCATTCTTTCTAAGATCAGATATTATGTACCACGCCCTGCCCTGGTGACTCTCTATTACTCCCTTATCTATCCATATCTCAACTATGGTATTTGTGCTTGGGGCTCTACTACCCAAAATCACTTACGTCCTCTAATTACTCAACACAAAGCTGCTATTAGGACAATATCCAATTCTGGCCCCAGACATCACTCGGTACCCCTACTTAAATCTCTGAATATGTTAGACATTAAGTCACTGCACATTCTCTCATGTGTATTATACATATATAAAACGCTAAACTATAATGCCAATCCTGATCTCAAAAGCTTCATAGAAGGTTGTATCAGAACCCATGAGCATCACACCAGAAATAAATACAGTTTTGATATTCCTAGAGTACGACTTAATCAAACTAGAAATGCTCTACAAATCAAGGGGCCCAGAATGTGGAATGACCTTCCCAACCATGTTAAAGACTGTACCTCTCTCAACCAGTTTAAGTTAAAAGTGAAGCTATACCTAATAAATTCCTGTAACCTACCTTACCCTTCTATTGTCAACCAATGTCTGTTTTTTTTCTTTAAAGAGCGCTGTTTGTCGACATAATTGTATTTGTGCTGCTTTTTCATCTATGTTTTCATTTCTTGTTTTCATTCTACTCATTATGCTCAATTAGTATTAAGCTTGTCATTTAAGTTTATCATGCCCGAAACGCTTTGCGTAATAGTGGCTTTAGGCATTGTATGTACTAGCTATACCTATAAGTTAAACAATCCTTGTAAATATTTATTGTATGTATGTACCTTACCTAAATAAAATTGTATTGTATTGTATCGCCTGTGGGGGACCCCTATACACCTCCTGGCTGTGGGGGGACCCCTATACACCTCCTGGCTGTGGGGGGACCCCTATACACCTCCTGGCTGTGGGGGGACCCCTATACACCTCCTGGCTGTGGGGGGACCCCTATACACCTCCTGGCTGTGGGGGACCCCTATACACCTCCTGGCTGTGGGGGGCACCCCCTCTATATCTCCTGGCTGTGGAGGACCCCTCTAATTAAATTTTGCCCCGAGGGGCGAGTTTATTGGGCAGCGCCACTCATCTTGTGAGTGGACATACCGCCATAGCAGCATGTACAACACTCCCCAATAGGAAGAAAACCCGCTGGGTTGTTCATCCTGTCACTTGTACCCAGACACAGCTGGGACTTGCTTAACTGTCTCAAGTGAACATTTCCTCAAACAAGAAGATTAACATCTGTGAACCCCTAAAAGCTTACGTTATCTTGCGGGTGCAAAATAGGGGGAATCTTTTAAGAACAGTATCAATATTTGACAAATAGTGTTTTCCTAACTCAAACAATGTGGGGTTTATTATTCTACACATATTTCTGATGTCTCTCAGGTGTTCACATTCACGTAGATAGTGGTCAAGGCGGTGTCCATCACTCTCACCACAGATTCTGCAACTTCGCTGATCAACTGTTGTTTCCATTCCATATCTCCTTGGATATTTGTATCCAAGACGGATTCTCGCTATTACTGATTCTCTCCCTCGTCCTCCTCCTCTTCGGCCATAATGATTGGGATTGCCAGCTGCAATCATGTTGTACCATCGTATAGATTCACTGGTTTGTGCTTCTATCCTCCTTACCTCAGTTACCTTGTCACAGTGATGTGACCTGACAATACCTCTAATTTGTAGTAGAGTCTTGGGTATGAAGTATTCAATATGGTCTCCTTCAGCAGCCAGCACATCTGCTCGTTCATTCCCACATATTCCAACATGGGAGAGGATCCACAGAAACTTGATTACTCTTCCCTGATTGGTAAGTACTCTCACAGCTCTCTTAATTTCAGCGACTATTGCAAGATTTTCTGCCCGATTTTTACTTAGGCTTTGCAGTGCTGCTTTTGAATCGGTGCAAATCACTGCACCATTAGTGTTCCGTTCAAGAAACCTTAACGCCATAACAATGACAGTGAGCTCTGCTTGTGTTGAAGAGGCATAGTTCTCAATACGCGCTTTTTCTTCATTTCTGCGTTGGAAAGCATTATCCTTAATTACCGTATATGCTGCACCAGCCCTGCCATTGACAGGATTAGATGACCCGTCAGTGTAGATTTGATCTAGTTCATCTCCGGCTTCTTTATAAATTTCCTCGAGATACTTGTGCCTCATTTCTTGTGGTATCATGTTTCATTTTTTCGTTGCCATTTCATTGATGATAATCTTGCATGAGTCCCTACCCAGGGAGGTAACCTCTCTACAGGCAGGAGCTTACGGGCTTGCTCAAGCAGGTGAAGTTCTTCGAGGTAGCAGACTGATCTGTGATGCCATTTTTAGCTTCTACTGTTTCCCCTCAAAGTAGCACAGAACTCAGTTTTTTCTTAGCAATATCATTGTAATGGGGATCTCTCTACACCCTCTGGCTGTGGGGGGACCCCTATACACCTCCTGGTTGTGGGGGACCCCTCTACACCTCCTGGCTGTGGAGGACCTCTCTACACCTCCTGGCTGTGGAGGACCCCTCTACACCTCCTGGCTGTGGGGGACCCCTCTACACATCCACACTTACACTGATACAACATTCACGTTTCATGGAATTATATGAACAAAAAAGAGCTTCCAAGAGGTACAGAGCTTGTCACCTTTTGCATGAAAAACTGAACAAGATGGATGTTACAGCAAATTATTAATTTTAAGTTTTAGTTAAAGTGTTTTTCCCACATTTTACCCGAAACACTGTGCATATTAGTGACTTTAGGCTATGTACTAGCTTTATCTAGAATTCCAACATTCTGTTTGTAACTCATCTTATATGTATGTACCTGAATAAACATTTATTTATTTATTATTATTTATAATGCTGATTGAGGATCTAAACCAACATTTTCCCTTTTTTAACCATTAAAAAAGGCCATTGTTTTGATTACTAACTATACTGATTCGTTTTCACATTTCCTCTTTCAATTAAAAGACATATATGATTTAAAAATAAGACAATATATATATGGCTATATCATATGGAACCTAGGATCTACAAGTCATTGAAGACTACACAGTAAGTTGGTGCTACAGTAAAAAAAAAATCAGGAATTGTCAAACGAACCTTTGACTTCAACGGTTCGACACTGTTGAAGTCAAAAGCTGTTGAATAAAGACACTGGCTATTCAACTGTACAAGTCTCTGGTACGCCCCTATCTCGACTACTTTATCCAAGCATGAACACCTCATCTTCAAAAAAAGACATATCTGTTTGGAGAAAGTTCAATACAGAGAGACAAAAAATCATCCCAAAACTATAATTCACTGTGTCGGAGGGACAGGAAGCCAGAGTGTATTCATACACTGTTGGCTTTTATAGAGGTACCCCCCCCCCCAACAAAGGCCGAATTACTGACCCCGCCCAGGATGCGACCCCTCAACAAGCTGACTAACTCCTGAATACCTATACTCACTGTTATGCGAACAGAGATATTGGGTGAAAGGAAATTTGAAAGGACCCCCATACGCTTAACGTTGATTAAACGCTTAAATTAACTAACGCTTTAACTTAGGTTCTGTGGCCACTATAGGTGCTGTTACTGCTTTATGTAATACGTCCACAACAGTAATCAAATTGATCTTAGACTTCACTGACCATCGTACCTTACAGCATAGGTACCAAAACACTGATGAATTTTACAATTCAGTCAGATAAAATAATCAGGACAAATGGGGATCCTTGACAAGCCGCCGGCTACTTGCCTTCGTCCAGGACACTCGAGAGATAGTGGCCCTTAGGTAAATTCAGGTAAATTCAGTTCCAGAGGTCTATTAGTATATATGACACTTTCTACACACCAAAAACATAAAATGTTTTTATTATCATGCTGAAGGTGAGCAGGAAATGTTTATTTCAATTACACACGACTTAAATTAATATAATATGCAATTTAAGAAATACAAAATATAACACCTGAAAATGTAAAAATTTAATGTAGATAAATTGCAGTGTAAATTAAACAATTGCAAGGGGAAGGAAATAAGGGAGGGGGTCACGAAATAGAGAAGACAGGCAATAGCGAGGGAGGAAATAGTGGGAATGCAGGAAATAGTGGAAAGGCAGGAAATAGTGAGAATGCAGAAAATAGTGGAGCATGAAATGTTACCAACTTAGTGTGCAAAATGGTTTTAAACCAAACCTGTATGAGTGAAAACTTTCTGGCAGACAATGCCTTACAAACTGTGTACAAACAGGGGGGTAGAAATAGCCTAAGCTACTCTATCCCTTTGAGATGTATTTATTGCTTATCTCAATAAACATAATTGAACTTGAACTTGTGTACAAACATATGTTTGTTATGATGATCATTCCCACAACTGCGTCGAGATCTCTGGTGACATCTTGACTGTATAATACATCACCATCACCAATGGGTTAATATGGTACTTTAATCATCATGATGATTTTCAACACCGTGATTCTCTAACGAAAGCGCTGATTGACTTAAGATTTTCTCATTCTCACTGTGTCTGTTCAACATCATACTTACTGTGTTTAACACCATATTTACTGTGCCCGACACCGTACTTATTGTGTCTGTTCGACATCATACTGTGTCTGTTCGACACCGTATTTTCTGTCCCTGTTTATTCCCATACTTGCTACAACTGTTCAGGACGATCGATGGATGATGAGGACGGGTCGTGATGATGATGATGGGTCGTGATGATGATGATGTCTCGTGATGATGATGATGGGTCGTGATGATGATGGGTCGTGATGATGATGATGGGTCGTGATGATGATGGGTCGTGATGATGATGGGTCGTGATGATGATGATGGGTCATGATAATGATGATGGGTCGTGATGATGATGACAATATCGAGGACGCTACTCAGAAGATGGAGGAAACATCAGTATAAGGCTGTCGTTCCACCGTAGATGTTAATAAATAAACAATTTGAAGATAGATCCAAGCAAATGTTGAAAGAAATGGCACCCAATCTTTTCTTGCCGAATCCAAAAATCAATAAAATCATCGTATTGTATCCAAATTTTTGTTCAAAATTGGCAAACAAAAATGTAATCAAAAAATTAATATTCAATATTAGCCTACTCTTCATCGAAATTGCATTTAAATAACTGCTATATCTAATATCATAATATTTCAATAATATTCTGAATGACTTGACTCGATTATTTAATATTATACTATTACCCATATCAATTGCAATGTAATACTCAGTCATTGACAGTGTAATAAAATCATTCAACATTTATAAATCTGAAACAAGCAATGGTAAACATCGCACCGGGGACTGATTTAAACGTTTCGTGGCCTTTGTAACTCTTGTTGGTGAGGAATGGGTCAGCTAGGATAGTGAGATTTTCATCCAGGATGGTGAGACTAGAGACAGCTAGGATAGTGAGATTCCCATTCAGGATAGTGAGGCCGGAGTCAGCTAGAATAGTGAGATTCTCATCCAGGATGGCGTGGAATGGATCTGCTAGGATAGTAAGGTTTTTATCCAGGATGGTGGGTCAGCTAGGATAGTGAGGTCCTCAGACAGGATTGTGAGGCAGGGATCAGCCAGGATGGTGAGGTATGCGTCAATCAAAATTGTGAGGCAGGAATCAGCTAGGATAGTCAAGTTTTCAGCCAGGATGTATTAGCCATTGCTGAGCTCCATAACCCACAACCATTCTGCTGTAAGCTGGAAACTCACTGTATTGCATATAAATGGATAGGTGAATTAAAACAATAATTACATAAAGTATTTGTGTTCAAATATGATGCAGAGAATCATTGCATTTACACTCCGTTAATAAAAACATGACAGGGGTGATGTGGTCTATTGTTGTTTAGAATTGGACTCTAATATTGCCGGTGAATGCTTTTGTTATATACTGTATAAGAATAGTATACTGTATAAGAATAGGTATGATAGTTTATGTTTGTGTGTGTGCGAGCGTGTGTGTGTGTGTGTGTACTCACCTATTTGTACTTGCGGGGGTTGAGCTCTGGATCTTTGATCCCGCCTCTCAACTGTCAATCAACTGGGGTTCAGATTATGGAGCCAATTGGGCCCTATCAAACCTACATTTGAACTTGTATAAAGTCAGCCTCCACCACATCACTGCCTAATGCATTTCACCCATTAACTACTCTGACACTGAAAAAGTTCTTTCTAACGTCCTTGTGGCTCATTTGGGTACTCAGTCTTCATCTGTGTCCTCTTGTTCGCGTACCACCCGTGTTAAACGTTTTATCCTTATCTACCCTGTCAGTTCCTCTGAGAATTTTATAGGTAGCGATTATCTCTCCCCTTACTCTTCTGTCTTCTAGTGTCGTGAGTGTCATTACACATCCTGAAGGTTTGATCAAATTATGATGGCGGTATCATGACGGTATGATAGAGGTATGATCAAGATGTAATCAAGAGTTTCGATGATATCGTCTCCAAATTTAGGAAATATGGTTCGAGATATGCTAGACAATGATGTTTATTTCAGAGGGTAAACATGCCATGGAGGCTTGTTGCCCCTTCAGCAAAAAATATGAGTTCTGTAAATTATTTGTTGCCTTAATTTGCCGCTCAGAATAACATGATAATTATGTTCCTCGAGGGGTACAACTAACAACCACAACCAAATATTCTCCATGTACCAACAACACCCACCAACAGCCAGAGCAATCCATGAACATCTCATGACTTCCTTGAACTTTCACACCTTTTGTGAACCTCTCTTACCATCTCTCTGAATCTTTCACACCCTGTCAGACTCTCTCCGACATTTTAACAAATAGTCTCCTTTTAGATTTTCTTCTTTCCCTTCTCCTAATTTTCTCTAACTCCCTTCCTCTTCCTTAGTCCCTTACATTTATCATTTCCCCTCCCAACCAGACTTAACAAGCTCTCGAGAATTTAATTTCCAGTCAGGTAACATGGGTGGTAAGTCCACGTCCCACGAGGCTTATCAAAGCCAACCACCTGTATGAACCTTTTTTCAGGGAAGCCCAGACAGCATGAAAAACATTGTTGGGTAGGTCTGAAATTTTGGCTCAGTTGGATGTCCGAATGATTGAAAGCCTAAGAAAGAAATAGCCTAAGCTACTCTATCCTTTTGAGATGTATTTTTTCTTGTCTCAATAAACATATTTGAACTTGAACTTGAAAGAGCTGTATCTTTATCACTTATTATTACTAACATCTTTATTGAAAATGTTCAGTAGCACCAAAGGGCTACTGAACACTCAATTGTCGACCTCAATTAGAATAATTACGTGGAATTCTTCTGAATTTATGTGTTGGTTGCTATTATTAGAGGTGGGACTATTTTAATGATCAGTAATTACTATTCATCAAATATATCTGAAAAACACAAAACAATAACATAGGTATTGCAGATATCATTTTTGCCTTTTCTATGTTTTCCCACATCGTGACTGGCACCTTTAAATAGTTAATTTGATAATTATATTGGCCAACACTGCATATATTAGCTAATTTACTTAGCTGCTTTTGGTAGAGGAGAAGCTCAGCTGCTTTGACTGACTGATTGACGAAGACTAAGCCACCTAAGACGTGGCACGGGCATGAATAGCCCGTAACTGGTGGATTTTTTGGAGTGAATGTGATCTTTGGTCGTGAATCAGATACTTTGGTGGTGCGCTATTGTTGTAGAGTATTGGAATGCGTAATAATTGTTATTGTCGTAGAATATAGTCGTTTATGTAACATATAATCACATGTTAACACAAATGTATTTATATAACTGTCAAATTATTAATGTAGATAGTGTGTAGTGAGTCAAATTATTAATGTAGATAATGTGTAGTGGGTAAAGATGTAATCCATGTAAATTCTGTTAGGGCGCCGAGGTCTACAATGAGGAAGATCGAGTAAAGTGAACCCACGACTTAAGTTCTTCATCCACCCTCAGCTAATCTTAATATATATGGAAATAATATTTACGTTGCCTCATGTTTAAAATAATGTTAGTAATAAAATTATGTATTTTTAGTTACAATGTGCATAAAAGCATTAATTTAGATGATTACCTATGTTAATGCAAATTCATTCTATATCCTAGCAGAGCGTGTAAATATCAGTCCTCCAGAAGATTCAGACTTATGAAATGGAAATATGCACAGAAGTATAACTTGGATCGCGGTGTATATACAATAAAAGTTACTTTAGTTCTGGGGAATATTTTGGACTGAAGTATACTTTTTGGTTGGTTAGTTATTGTGGTAGCCTTAATAATTATCAGCCTATCATCCAGAGGGTGATAGGCCTTAAGCCCAACATTCTAGTTACTACCCTAAGGTAGTTCTCAAATGTTGCAGTTTATGAATAAAAACTTAAGTGAGGTAAATGTTGACTGCGGTAAAATGAGAATCAATACCAAAATTTTAGCCAGTTTAACTGCAGTCTTTAGTATTTTAGCTTAAAAGCTTAATAGTGTGTTGACTATTAGGGTCAGCCTTCCATTTGTTAGGCTAATTATAATCCAGCTCAATTTCACACCGTTTCCACATCCGCTGCCCAATTTCCCAAGGATCACTTCAGAATTGATGTATAGCCATTATATTCTATAATTTGGCAGTCAGAACTAAAACCCTTAACATATAGTTGCTCAAAGGATAATTGAACCAATATGCAAAACATTTCAACGTTTATTTGGACAATAATATAGAGATGATCGCATCAGCAGTCGACCATGCCCGATGTTAGTCTAGCCAGTAACCCGAAGGCTTTGGCTAGGGGCAGCACTTGCGATCCCCACTCCAGGAACCCCGGCTAGGGACGCCAGCGACTGGGTCGGCTGCCGCAGGCGGTGTTGGTGCCTGTCATTGCGGCTTGGCGTCAGAGGGAGATGAGTATAAAAAATGATGCGGTGAGGTACTGGGCACTGGTGGGTGTGAAGGGCGGGCGCGAAGGCCGGCCCAGGTTGCGCTTGCGCGGGATGTCCACCCACAACGCCGGGCCTCGCGCGCGGGTAGCGTCTGATAGTCTTAGAACGCGTTCTTACTGCACCTCCTTCAGGGGTCCGAAAAGGTAGACGGCGTTGGCGGACTCGTCGGGGTTGGAGATGAACTGAGCATACAGTTCCTGATACCGGGCAAGGCTGATGCCACCAGCCTTCTTGTCCTCATCCTGTGCATAGAGAAATACCGCACAATGAAAACCTCTAGAAATAACTCTTTTGTAACTTGCTCAAAAATTTTAGGCAAATGATAACTGCTTGTAACTAGTTCACAAATATTTAGATTAGAGGACACTGAGGTCCATTTCCTAAACCCATCATATGACCGTAACCTTCCTTTCAGCACTCACAACATGAATGTGGGATCCATTAAACTAAACTAAGAAAGCGTAATTCATATTAAACAGAAAAGATTATGCTAACATAAAAGTGTAGCCACTTACAGTAGCGAGCTTGTTGTAGGCATCGTCGATCTCCTTGATGTTAGCGAAGGCAGACCTGGAAATGCAGTCCAGCCTGTACTCATCAACACCAACGAGGCCGTCACCTGTGGAAGTCGCGGCCCACACGCCAAGTTAGAAGCAAGTTCGGGAAGAGGACGAAGCAGTAATTCTGACTTGACTCTTAATAAATAACTGAACAATCGACTGCACGAGGTCTAAACCCCATATTAACTTGGGTTATTTATATTTGTTTGTAATTTAAATAGCGTATTAATTTCAAGAATTGAGGCACTGGCCTGCCTGTAGTCTCAGCTACGGCTTGCATATTAACAAATAAGTACACTGGTCTAAGTAAAAGACTAACTTTGATAGTATTTACATAGTAAAAACGCTAGTAGTGCAGATATAAACAAAATTGTTCCAATACAGAAACAGACACAAGGAGCCTAAAATAGATTTATTATTGGTAATGAAGTCTCAATTTCTTCAAATAATACTAAACAAAATTCAGTTCTAAAATTCGGATTACTCAATAAATAGTTCACGAAAACAGAAATTGAAACCTGAAAATAATAATAATAAAAGTAGCAGAATAAGTTGTGTGCACAGCCGCCGCATCGAGGCTCAAGCTACACACTAAAGCATAAAAGCTATGCACATAGAAGAGCAGAAAGGCATCAGAATCCTTTTATTTGCAGGCAAGGGAGGCATCTGATTCTATCGGAATGAATTTAAGAGAACAGTATTCTAGAATTCATTAGATTAGCCATAGCCGTCCGATGCCTGTGAGCTCTACACAATTAAAAATACAAAAATAATAAAATAAGCACACATAACATATCTGCGTGTCAAAGCGTGAGGCCTATACAAATACCTCTCAATCATGTCATTTGTTGACAAAGCTCTTAGATCAATGTCATGCGCTGACAAAGCTCTAAGATCAATGCCATGCGCTGATAAGCTTTTTGGTCAATGCCATGCGCTGACAAGCTCTTAGATCACAGCACTAATTCACAATCACAAATAAAAACTTGAGGTTATACTACTAATCTAACAGAAAGACAAATTTAAACAAAATCTATACAAAATCTATAATTCTACATTTAATATTGTATTCTGAATTAGTGCCTGTAAGAATGGTCTTTGGTTAAGCATGAAGCAGAAGCTAAATTTTGAACACGTGTTAGAAAACAGGAGAAACTGTTAGAGGGGGGACCTGTGAATAAAGCCTGACGCAGAGGGTTAGCTTCGGGTGGAATGTCTCCCGATAGTTAGAATCTGTCTGAAGCGTCGCAAAAAAAGAAAAAAAGCCAAAATTATATAAAAGTCGCAGTTATAAAAGAGAGCAACAGCCATGTGGTAAAATAAGGTTATTAGCTAAAAAGTACCTGATATGAAACATCGAGACGAATATCGCTGTAAAAATATCTGTAGAAGCTTCTTGTAGATTGAAAAAAACCCACTTGCAAAAGAGGTAATAAGTTACTTTTACGTAATAAAACTGCTAAAAAAATAAAAAGAGTAGTCAAAGTCCTTGGCTCTGTCGATAGGTCGTATCTACGGTAACCTGATCAGAGAAGGCCAGCAACATTTTTGTAATGATCTTCACAATTAAAAATAATAATAATAATTCTTGAGGCTACTTTAGTTAGCATTGTGAACCCTTCTCTGATAACCAGCTATCTACGGGCGACGGAATAATAAATAAAGAATATATATTTATATATATATTACAGAGATGGAAGACAAGAGATAAAGAATGAAGAAGGTGATTGTATATGATATATGTGTACGCGTTGTGAAAGTGAATAGCTAAGCGTTATGGATATGACTGGGAACCCCCAAAAAAAACTAAAAAATAAAAAAATTAATGTATGCTTCGCGTATTTAGATTTTTTTCCAGCGACTATCACAGTGATACATAGAAAGATTTGTCATTAAGTCTCAAAATTCTGAGTATACGTTAAGAGCGTCTAACATTGATTTCATTTATAATTGAATAATACAATTTTCAGGAACCTTATAGCTTCTGAAGTGTAGAAAGCTTCAAACAAAGAACTTTCAAACAGGAATAAACAAAATTCATACCGTGAAAGCAGGTACAAAAAATTATATAAAGAACACTATTACTACGTTGGGAGTTTCAGCAGCAAATGTAGGTTCTACAGATCCAGGTATGTGGTGCCAATTTCAACATTAGCAAGAAATGTCCGTTGCTAATTATTGCACAGTTGTATTTATAAGCTTTGGAATGCACAACAGGGGTATTATAGCTAATGCAAAGATAACTGCACAAATTAATACGTTTGTGCTCAAGCCAAAGAGAGTACATGGAAGCATTTAATAGCCTAGTCCTCATTTACAACGTACCGTTAACGTCAACTGTCTTAAACTGGTTAGCAATGAAAACCTTGAAAGCCGCAGGGAAGGTGTCAAAGCCCTTGCCCACACATACGTTCTGTACAGCTTTCTTGAACTCGTCAATTGTCACTTCACCATCCTGGAACCAATAAGGGTAATCTGTGAATACCGGTGAAACTTCTTTACCAGCACACCTGATCTGAGGATTCCTAGTAGGGACAATGTGAAGTTCTATTTTTCCTAAAGGAAAGGGTGCTCGACAAAATAAAAAATAATAATAAAAATTAAATGCCTCGAAGGTGTGTGTTTGGTTTGAATCTTTGAGATGATCCGACTCGGACAAAAGAGATGAAGTGAAAGGAAAACAAACGCTACAGATGAAGATATATATATATAAAAACCGAGATGAATAACCAAGTCGTCGCACATACCGTTCACATCAACAGTTTTAAACTGGTTTACAATGAACATCTTAAAAGCATTGGGGAATTCATCGAAATTCTTGCCAACACAGGCGTCCTGAACTGCCTGCTTGAATTCCTCGCCGGAAACTTCCCCATCCTGGAAGTAGGGTTTTATAAGGTGAGGTTTGGGAAGAAATTGTCCCTAAACACATTGTTTGGTTAGGTTTTTAGGTTGTGAGTATGCTTGTTGTGTGATCCAATACCCTTAGAGTTGAATGAAAGAGTGTTCCGATACCTCTGTAAAGAGGGCAATAACGTACCGTTCACATCAATAGTCTTAAATTGGGCGGAAATGAAAGTCTTGAAAGCAGAAGGGAAGCTCTCAAACACCTTGCCGCTGCAGTGAGTCTTAACGGCCTGCTTGAACTCATCATCAGACACCTCTCCGTCCTGTAAACGCCAAATTTAGAGTTCAAATTACGAAATTAAAGCGCGATAAAAAAACCCCACTTCATAGCCAACGAAAGGCTGCAGGAATGGCGATGAGGGTGTTAACTGCAAAGGTTGGGAAGGATGCACATCTGTTGCACGCCAAAGAGCGTGTGTTGCTTAACGTACCGTTCACATCAATGGTCTTGAACTGGTTAGCAATGAAAGTCTTGAAGGCGCCGGGGAAAGCTGAGAAAGCCTTGCCACTGCAGTTCTTCTGCACAGCCTGCTTGAACTCCTCAACGGTGACCTCACCGTCCTGGAAACGTCAAAATTAAACTACTGGAGAACCTGATGAAATAAACCTATTCCCTTTGACGAGACGCCATATGCTGAAGAAACCAGAGTCGAAACTGGAGAAAACAGTTCTTTTCGGGAGTGCCAGGAGCTGGCAGTGCTTTTACGCTGTCAAGAGTGACTTCAAGGGCTTGTATTTACTCCTTCAGAGTGGTTTACCGCATTTTAGCGGTGCCTCGTTATACTGCTGTAGCCACGTTCCGTCTAAGTGATCGATATAAACATGCTACACTTTTCTTCGAGTGAGAGTGCAAGCGTCGCTGATAAGCGTATCCGAGCAATGAATAACAGTATAAACTCTGAATTAGGCCTCTTCAGTGTATTAAGAAACAACTTGGAAGGACTCTAAAAGAAAGACTAGAAAAACCGCTGAAAGTCGATCCTATATAAGCTTTAGGGCGTAGATTTGAAGGAGTATTAGAAATCGATCCTATATATATTATATATTAAGGTATTAGGAGTCGATCAGTTACGAGACACTCTGCAAACTTGTGTTAGATACTAGGTGTCAGTGTCTTCTAAGTAATACTAGGCGTCAACCTGGCAAAAAAAAAAGAGTAAAGAAGCCGGTCTCTACAAGACTAGAAAGTTCGACAACCAAATTAGCAAACTTGAGCAAGCTTAAAGACATTAATACACCACTTTCAACTCTCCATCGAAATTAACTTCATCTTGCGATTCTCAGGAAAGGATGAAACACGATGAACATAAAAAGGTAATACAACTTCACAACAATGGGTGATATATAATGAATGACGTACTAGGACTGTACACTGCTAAAGCAATACACGCTTTAAGCTGAAATATCATATTGGCAAACATTATGCGATAGGCTGCTGGCCAAACTGCTATGGCAACACAGTGCTGCGACACATTGGTTAAAACAGTGCAGTCAATCTGCAGCAGCTGTTAGTGCCTTCGCTATTGCACATCCGCTACCTACCGTTGATATCAACTGTCTTGAATAGTCTGCTAATAACAGTCTTGAAGCACGCGGGGAAATCATCATAACTCTTGCCAACACACAGGTTCTGGACCGCTTGTTTGAATTCGTCCACAGTGACTTCTCCATCCTGTAAACAGCATTTGTAATCCCTACACTCCTCTGCTGTTCATCCTCAATCTCTTTCTGGGCGCCTCTTCCCTTCCCTTCCTTACACTTCAAGGCAATAACCCTCTTTGCTTCAAGACAATGCTGCCCTCTGTGTGGTGCCCAGTGTCTTAGCTAGATGGCAACGTCTTCTCGCTCCTGCAGTTATCTTTGTCATGAGGTCTATAACTTACTGAGTACCCTGTTAAGACAGCTTTGTCGTGCTGCAGGTATTGCTAGCCTAGTCACATTATGGCCCTCGCCCTGCTCTCTCTCACCTGAGGGTAGTATCCTGGCGTTTGATATATATTAATAAGCGGGCTACCAGAGCTTTAGCTATTATGACTTAAGAAGATTTGACCTATGATAGCTGTTAGTATTAAAAAAAATTGGTAAAGATAACTCCTAATGGTGACAGGTTAGCCTGCACATTTTATGTGCATTTTATCTGATCTGCCTGCACTCTTTATGTGCAGTTATTGGTAAATCTGAGAAAGACAGATGCTGAGATGAGACATACTTCATTACTATTTACGGTTCTTTGATAATACTACCATTATCATAGTTAATTCTAAAATACCAGTGCACAATTTGGCTCACTAAACAAACTCTTATTTTGTGACTGTTATTACCCTATACAAATAGCCTTGCATAAGAACCTCAACATATATAAACTACTTATACTCTTGCAGACTCGGTCTACCTTTCCCCATCCTTCCATCAACCTGTCATTAACCTGTCATTAACCTGGAAATATATCCGCAGCTTCAAATGACCTGAACCTTCTAACCTTTCATTATAGCCCTGCCTTTGTTATCCACTGATTCCTGAAAGTATGAAATCTAATTTCTAATAAATGCCCATTTCAAGAGTTGTCCTAATAATTTAATAATGTTGCTGTTCCATTTAGCCTTAAAAGCTTACCCTTAAATGGGGATATACTACACTTCCATAACCTTATGATCGCCCAGGTCATTTATGCCCCCCCCCCCATCAGTGAGTCTCCCTACTTTACCTTGTTGAAGTCAGCAAGTTCGGCAATCTCGTTCCAGAGGTTGGACATGATCTTCTGGTTGTTGGCATAGGCGGCTTCGTTGAATTCACCGCGGCCCTCGATCAGGGTGTTCCTGAGTGCGAGACACTCAAAATCGTTCTTGTCGAGGAAGCCATTGTTGTCAATGTCTGGGAAAGATAGAATTTTAACAGGTCAAACGCGTTTAATGCCTAGTATAGTTAATAAATCTGGATTACAGTTCACAAGGGCGAGCAGTGAATGAACGATTTTCAGCCTTCCTACCATGCCCAGGATTCGAACTCAGATCCTCTCAGAAGCGAGGCGAGGTGGTTGTGGTGCTAACTACAGGGTGCTGTTCTGTTCAGTCATTGTCACAGAGTGGTCAATGCTTTCTAAGCTCTAAATAATCTTAGCTACTGACTAGTAGCCATAATTATAATTGACTTGAATTTCGTCAACTTTTGTCGGGATACCTTTTTTATATTGCCAACTATATGCAGCAAAAAGAGTATATATAAAACAAAACAAACTACAGCCATGGGTAAATATATCAGCATCTGTACTAATCACGACCACAGTGAATAGGTGATTGGGTTCAGATATGTTTTATTTGCAGACTGAATTTTTATATTTACTATTTAAATTCTGACCAACTTTAAACACTGTTACTATACATCCTAAAACCAGCATGATCAATTAATTCATTGTTCAAATTTGCGGTAATTTTTTTTAATGAACACATGTGCAGTTTAATTAATATAGACTATAGAAATGACAACATTTATTCTAATCAAAGGATACTTGCATTTTTATTGTTAATATTTATAACAATTCGTCCTTGTATACTAGACTGAAAATAGAGCAGCCTAAATTGTACCCAAGGCGAAAGAATGCGCACCACAAAGAGAATATAACAATGAATTTGGCAGCCTGGCAGCATTGGCCACACGCTTGGAGAAACGTTAAACCACTACACCAAAATAACCCCCGCTGCCCGCTTGCTAGACTTTGGGGGGTTCGTTGCCCGCCAGATTCCGCTGTTATATATGAGAGGCAGAGAGTGTGTGTGCTTGCTGCCACCATCCCTGACTTAAACACGCGATTTAAATCTATGGAAGAAAAGGACTTCATTCAACTAGATTTACTGGTTAGGGAAAGACGAGGCTGATTGAGTTACTGAGAGATAATTGATCTACCATCAGTAACGACGAGGTCAGCAGGAAGAGTATGGGGGAAGGGGGGGTGGAATGAAGTTTAGAATCATATTAAGTTTCATTGAAATGGCGTTGTTTACAGACAACACACCATATACAGTATATATATATGTATATACTGTATATATATCAGGCTCCGGGACACGCAGGATGCGACTAGACATAAAACTTACCGACCACATACAAGGTCTCTAATGGTCTGTCTTACCAATGCTGGGGGCAAGATGGGCTCGGAGAAGAAATATAAAAGTCAGACAAAGGAACAATAAGGAATCTAAAATATTATAATTTATAAAATGAAGTAATAAGAAAATAATAATGATGGGAGTCTTCAGATGAAACATAAATATGTGATTTAATAAAATAGAATGACACGAAAGGGTGGAAGAAGGAGAGGCGGAAGGAAACTATCGGGAGAAATGGCTAAGCCACCACTACTATATAGCACTGGGAAGGGGGCAGGATAAGGATTTGGGATGGGACGGGGGGAAGGAATGGTGTCCAACCACTTAGACGGTCGGGGATTGAACGTCGACCTGCAAGAAGCGAGACCGTCGCTCTACCTTCCAAGTGGCGGAAGGAGAGGAAGAAGAAAAGAGAGGAAATAACCCCTCCCCATCCCCCAGGCCACGCACACATTAGGGAGTAGGTAAGGTAAAAGAATATCGCGCGGCTGGTGCGCATCAGGCCTTGGAGAGGGTCACCTTTAGTATAGTGAACTCTGGTCAAGATGACAGCGCCACAGGCAAGTAAGCGCAACAGTCCTCTTTCAAGGTCCTCACTGACAGAGGGGAAACAAGAGGGAACGAAGATTGAAGGACGGGTACGACGTAGAGGGTAGGAAGAGAGAAGTCCAGGGAGCGAGATACGGGTGAAGGGATATTGAATGGGAATTTGAGGAAGTATTGGGATGGAAGGAAGGGGGGCATGGGACAGGGCATATCTGACCGGGAGGGGTAGGTGCTCTCCCCTGTGTTTCGAGGACACGAGTTGGTGCTCGGTGTCACAGTAAAGTTTCATTTATTGATGACTTAAAGGCCATGACTTGCCCATGGGCGGGGGTAGGATCGCCAAGTCTAGCATCAAACACATATGAACTCTGGAACAATCATTCCTACTCTAAGAACTAGCAAAAGTGTTTATTTTCTATTGAAAATACTTTTAAGCTGGACATGGCAAGAAGTGCAATATACAAAGTTAGCCTGAAGGAAGTGTGTGACGGTATCGTGTGATAGAGAAGGAGAAGAGCAAATAGATGTAAGCTACTCCTCAAGGTTTCTGCTGCTCTAGCAAAGATGCTGCCAGATTAATCAAGTTATAAATGACTTTGCAAATGCAAGGAAAATAACACTAGATTCTAGAGTTACGGTTATCTAGAAAAGCTGAGCAGTGGTTGTCAGTAAGGAGATGATTATTCGCATCGTCTCACACTTAATGAAGTAGACAGAACTATTACAGAATCATACATGAAGAATGCCTGTATATCTGTATTAACGTTATACGATTAATAGGTTCTTCCTCGGAAAACAACAACTACAGAATAACGTAAACACTGTTATAAAATGAATATGAACTTTAATTTAATATTAACAATTGTATAACTAACTTCACAAAAGTGTGACTTGCTTAGCTAAAGGAACTATGGGGTTCAGTCCCTGAGCCCATTATGTGCCTCTGTTACCCTTTCCACCACCGCTCACGGGATGGGTATGGGGTGCATAATAAATATATGAATAGATGTATCCAATATTATAATCAACATATTAGGCTGTATTCTTTATCATATTCTGCGTATCAGAATGTATGCAGTATTATATTTAGCAAATTCCTTGAAGTATTTTAGAATACAGGTCTATTAGAATGAGGTAGGTCATATTTAGACCTGATGTAGAATGACAATAGCTGGTAAAAGGTAAATAGATAAAGTTTGTAGTATTTGCCAAAATGATATGGGTTCGCATTTATATATAGAAACTTTTCCTCTGGTGAACGTTAGTTTTCACAAAACGCTTGTTAATAGAATCCCTTATTTGATTATAATACTTAAATGAAAAAGCTATTCCTAAGTAATTATCAGTAAGGTTAGGCTATATATAAAATATTTAAGATCTGAACGATAAGCTAAATTTACTCTCGTTATGATTTTTATAAACTCGTGCAAGACTATGATAGCATAAGGAAACAAACTTATAGTTATTAGTGTTAGCAAGTTCGATACAGGAGAAATTGAAGTGAAATTTGTGAATTCAAGTGGAATCTAGACTATGACAGTCAGACGACTAGCAAAGGAGACAAAGGATGGTGTGGGATAGTCAGAATTATGTATAAGACCAAATTAAATATAAGATTGATTGATGAAGATTAAGCCACTCAAGAAGTGGTACGGGCATGAATAGCCCATAATAAATGTATGGAGTAGTGTGAACATAAATAGGCTATTGCTACTCACCGTACATGTACCTGACTACATATTTCACACGGTTGTCCCAGGAGTAAGCCATTTTGCTGAAAACACAAAAAAATGTAATCAGTTGAAAAACGAGGCACAGATCCACAATATTTGGTTTGAACAAAGAACAATGATAATAAAAAGGCAATTTTGTTTACAGATTAAAAACATTTTTACTAGAAATTAAGATATCCCGTAAATAAAAATATCACCATATACGCTAGTGTGACAGGAATATACGATATTTGGATATTTAGAGAGTAGTGGTGCGGTGGTTTGCGGTACGATGGGTTGTGAAATGTTGCATTATTCAGAACTGGCGAGAAGCGGAGCGCCTCTCACAGCATGGCAGTAGAGGTTGCCTAACCTCACCGCTGATTCCATTTATCGCCGCCTCATATATATTGATAACTAACGATTTTAGCTGACGTGAATGATTAACATTATCATGGGCGTTCTAGTTTTGGGGTGTGAAGTAAGCTGAATATACAATTTTATGTATATTTTCATCTTCGAAATATACACTGATAAATATATACCCCTTTCTTGGTGTATATACACACTGGGATTATGTTAGTCCTGTACTTGGTTTAAGACAAAAATATATTTGCTGGTTGGTCAGTGAGCTGCAGTGGTGGGCTAAATAGCCTGTCAGGGTTTGATTGGCTTTAAGCGCAATCCAAATCAAACCAGCTGTAAAAATATTTATAATTCAACTTATAGTTAAGTACAGTACTATGAACTCTTATGGAGAGAACCAAAACTTAGTGTTACTGCAAGTATTTTTGTCTATCCAGAATCCTCTTTATTGAGCTGAAAGTGCACAATTAGCACAGCATTATCTTATAGATATTAGCATTCTATAGTGGGGAGACAAGGGAAAACAAGTTTGTAGTTACATCGAATCTGTAAACTGATTTTACAATTAAAGAATTACTATAGCCACGTTCGTGTTTGTGTTCATAAAAAGGATATACGCACAGAGAGGGTACCCTGCTTCTCGGTGTACTGTATATATACTTGGAGTTTACTTTTAGTCCTGGATTATATTCAGGACTGAAATATACTTGTTGGTTGATCAATAAGCTCATGTGGTGGCCTTAATAACTCTCCAAAAGATCCCAGGCCTTAAGACCAATCCCAGACTAATACAAGTTTTCACGTGGATGTAAACACAAAAATGTATTCCGTTTCTTGGTGTATATGCACTGAGTTTACTTTAGTTCTGGACTAGGTTTCATTACTAAAATATACTTGCTGATTGGTCAATAAACGCTAATGACGGCTTGAATATACCTTCCGCGGTTGATAGGCTTTAAGCTCAACACCCAAGATCTTACATATGGTAAATGCCCAAATAAACAGTTTTCAGAGAATATTCAGAGAAGCTTGTAAAAGTGTTCCACTAAACTTAATTTTATGTAAATGTGACTCCTACTAAATTTGCCAATTACATTACATGAACTTAAAACTTATCTTTACTATTACATGCTAATAAATTTGAAACAAAATTTCACGTAGAAAACTCATTACAACTAAATTTCCACTTTATTATCGTATACACAGAGTAAAGTGCCCAATTGTAAGCCTGAACGGAGGAGTATCAATAAATGCGGTGAAGCACCAAGGAAAATGAGCGTTGCAGTGAGCATGTGAAGCAAGAGTTAGCTATCACAGCTGCCAGGACTAGAGAGCAACAGGTGTACAGGTGATACAACCTAGTGAAAACCCCTATTATTGCTTTACAATTTTTTATCCTTACGGGGTTATATTATAAAGTTATACTAATTAGAACGATAAATATTCGTAGTTAAAATCAATCTTTAAAAAAGGGGGTTGTCCTGGAATGAACGAGGAGGAATGAAAATATGATGAAGGAGAGATAGAGAGCGCGTGGCTCCCAGCGAGAAGTAACAGGTGGGTGGAGCGGCCTCGCTGGCGTCCAGGTGGGGCTGACAAGCCAACCCGTTCTCGCACTTGCTTATAGTCAATATTAGCTTATTTAATGAGTGCATATGTGACATACTAATTGATTCAAGTTCAACCCTTGATGGGTTGCCAGAATTTTATGTCTCACTTTCCAATATCTTCATTTCCTACTTTTAGAAGCTAATTCGATGCGATCTAACTAATAATTCAGCGACCGACTGATCTACTTTACATAGTTACTTATTGGTTATCTAGCTATTAAATTCAAGGTGAGACTAATAATCTACCACCACCCCTTGTGAAGTTAAGCGTTTTATATTGTCAACAATTTTCTGCTCTATGTAGAATCAAGATAATTTTACAACAGTTTTACAACCAAGCAAATCCAATGTTATTTTAAGCTTTAAACTTTGTTACTCTAGCGAGAAAATGCATTAAAATATCAGTTGATTAATTGTTGTATTGAGTTTCCAGTGATGAACTATATCATGTGAGCGGTTCCTCTTTAAGTTGTGTAGCGCACTTGTTCAACACATAGAGTTGAATAAACGTGTTGCTTGACGCTACACAAGTGCTTATGAGATACAAGAAAATTACAAATTAGCGGAGATTTTGACAACAATGTCACTCAAATTGTACAAGTCGAAGCAATATAAAACTCTCAGATATTGAAAAAAATGCCACTTGTAGAAATTTAGAAAAATTAGCCAAAAAATAATTTGTTAACACTTCACATTCACTGATAGTGAACACTAGACTGTTCTCGCAGTTAACACTTTGTGTTCTCACTTGTACACAGAGTGAACGTCACTACTGTTAGTAGCCCTTGAGTTCTTCCTCACATTGCACTGTACTCCTTCACTCGCAACTGAGTCTGTTCACTGACTCGAGCTAACTCACCTAATTGGTTTGTCGTCTAAACCTTAAAGGACCTCTTGTTTCTCAGAAGCCGAAGCCGCACGATGCCGCTCTCGGTCTGGGTCCTAGGCTTATATACTCCTGGCGGGCGGTCGCTCCTGCGCGCTGATTGGTCAGTCCTAGCCCTGCCATCTTTACCCCAAAGTCGAGGGCAGGGCCAGGTACAGTTGTCTTCTTTTAGCAACGCCAAATATATACACCACCTGCATATTCTGTTACACCTCTTGCCAGCAGTGGTCCCCCAGATGGTGATTCTCTCCCTTTATCCAATCCTTCCTCACATTCCCCAACACCCCATATCTCTGTTCTTTCATTCCCCCTTCATTCACCAGCTGGGCTTTCCCATGGTCATTAAAAATAAAATAAAAAAATCACTGGTTGGTAGAATCGCAGGTGATCCGAATACCTGGCTGGCTCCTCAGGTAAGTCTTGGTAAAAATATCCGGGCGCCGTGGTATTGGAGACCCGAGGTGTAGAGGCTTCTCGTCGGAGCCAGAGGGCGGACGTCTTCTCCACCAGGCTCATGGCACCTGCACTTAACGTCGACAAAACACTATAAGGCTGCCAAACACTAAGTTGAAGAAATAGATAAAGTCCCCGACATTAAAAACCTCTCTGTAGGAGAAAGAGACAGAGAGAGAAGAATTCAAAGCAAGAGCCGATAGGACGAACATAAAACAACTAGATGAAACGCAAAACATGCAGAAAAAAGTAACATTTGTAAACAAACACAATATATATATATATATATATATATATATATATATATATATATATATATATATATATATATATATATATATATATATATATATATAGTATACTTCTCATACTATTCAAGTAATAAGCCAAGTATTATATATTTACTATAATTTTTTCTTATGTCGTACCTAGTTGCCAGAACGCACTTCTCAGCCTACTATGCAAGGCCCGATTTGCCTAGTAAGCCAAGTTTTCCTGAATTAATATATTTTCTCTAATTTTTTTCTTATGAAATGATAAAGCTACCCATTTCATTATGTGTGAGGTCACTTTTTTTTATTGGAGTTAAAATTAATGTAGATATATGACCGAACCTAACCAACCCTACCTAACCTAACCTAACCTATCTTTATAGGTTAGGTAGCCGAAAAAGTTAGGTTAGGTTAGGTAGGTTAGGTAGTCGAAAAACAAATAATTCATGAAAACTTGGCTTAGGCAAATTGGGCCTTGCATAGTAGGCTAGGTACGACATATATATATATATATATATATATATATATATATATATATATATATATATGTCGTACCTAATAGCCGAAAAAGTTAGGTTAGGTTAGGTTAGGTAGCCGAAAAAGTTAGGTTAGGTTAGGTTAGGTTAGGTTAGGTTAGGTTAGGTAGGTTAGTTTAAATCCAAACTAGTCGAAACACAATTAATTCATGAAAACTTGGCTTATTAGGCAAATCGGGCCTTGCATAGTAGGCTGAGAAGTGCGTTCTGGCTACTAGGTACGACATATATATATATATATATATATATATATATATATATATATATATATATATATATATATATATATATATATATATATATATATATATATATATATATATATATATATATCAGGGTCAAGATGTTAGCTCTTTGATCCCGCCTTATTAACATCGTTTGTAAAATGTATTGATTCCATACATATTTTCCTCTATCATATCTACTCCATATATTTTTCTTTTACACATACACACATAAACATCCCCAGGTTGTAACCCGTAGAAGATGTCTAACTCCCAGGTACCTATTTACTGCTAGGTGAACAGGTACATCATGCGAAAGAAACTCTGCCTATTCGTTTCTGGCTGGGTCAGGAATCAAACTCGGGCCCATAGTACTATGATCCCCGAGTACTGTTCGTTTGTGTGTGTGTGTGTACTCACCTAGTTGTACTCACCCAGTTGTGCTTGTGGGGGTTGAGATCTGGCTCTTTGGTCCCGTCTCTCAACCGTCAGTCAACTGATGTACAGATTCCTGAGCCTATTGGGCTCTATCATATCTACATTTGAAACTGTGTATGGAGTCAGCCTCCACCACATCACTTCCTAATGCATTCCATTTGTCTACTACTCTGACACTGAAAAAAAAATCTAACGTCTCTATGGCTCATTTGGGCACTCAATTTCTCCCTGTGTCCCCTAGTACGTGTGCCCCTTGTGTTAAAAAGTCTGTCTTTATCTACCCTATCAATTCCTCTGAGAATCTTGTATGTGGGGATCATGTCCCCTCTAACTCTTCTGTCTCCCAGTGACGAGGTTTAATTCCTGTAGTCTCTCATCGTAGCGTGTGTGTGTATTCACCTAGTTGTAGTCACCTAGTTGTGCTTTCGGGGGTTGAGCTCTGCTCTTTCGGTCCGCCTCTCAACTGCCAATCAATTGTTTCTAACTACTGCTACTACTACTATTTTTTTTCCACATCACACACACACAACCCAGGAAGCAGCCCGCGACAGCTGACTAACTCCACGGTACCTATTTACTGCTTGGTAACAGGGGTTTAGGGTGAAAGAAACTCTGCCCAATGTTTCTCGCCGACGCCCGGTTCGAACCCGGGACCACAGGATCACATGTCCAGCGTGCTGTCCGCTCGGCCGGTGTGTGTGTGTGTGCGTGCGTGTACGTGTACGTGTGTGTGTGTGTGTGTGTGTGTGTGTGTGTGTGTGTGTGTGTGTGTGTGTGTGTGTGTGTGTGTGTGTGTGTGTGTGTGTGTGTGTGTGTGTGTGTGTGTGTGTGTGTGTGTGTGTGTGTGTGTGTGTGTGTGTGTGTGTGTGTGTGTGTGTGTGTGTGTGTGTGTGTGTGTGTGTGTGTGTGTGTGTGTGCAGTCGATATTTATACTATACTATATTTATACTATATAGCCTGCCCTTGGAGAGACGAGCCCGTGTCCATGACATCCCAACACAATACATGTTCGAACGCTCTCTGAAACACAGGTATCAACCACCCCCCACCCCCCCTTCGCTAATGTAAATATTACAGTTGTAATACTCAGTTCTGGATGAGTATCTGTTGTATGTTTAGCAAATTATATGTAACTTCTCTTTAGTCATTTCTGTCTTAGTGTGAGGCTATAATGCCAGGAGTATAGCATGTTTTATTATTATTATTTTTTTTTCTACTACAGACGTGGCCACACATTTACAATGCTAACCAGCATATGTAAATGTATATAGCATGGTAGTGGAACTATAGAAGACACAGGTGAGGTCGACTAATAGTTGTGCACTCACGTAAGGACCATAAAATTTGTCTTTTCCTAACTTAGTATAACATAATCTAGCAAAATCTAACGATATATACAGATTTGACAATTAGAAAATGAGGTTTAAGTAAACGCCTGTTCACGATTTTACCGTATTATCAGTATACATATTTCATCATATCCAATTCATAGACATTTTTAAATACCACCCTCCTAACACAGTTTAAAGTATTCCCTTCATACACACTCTACCGTACGCCCCTTGTGTACAGATTATACCTGTTAGGGGGGACAAGGGATGGGGAATGGTCAAATGGCAAACAAGACTCGACACAGCTCTTTAACCATATGTATTTTCACCCCTTTTGATGCTCGGTTTACGACTCTGATGAAACGCGCAGTTTTCGTTTGTATTTGGATACTTCAGTTATTACTTAGGGGTGTAAAACAGTCCTGTAAGCGTTACATTTCAGGCATATGAATGCTATTTGCCAAAATACAAATTACAGTGCAGTTCTTCTAACTATCGTTAGAATGGTAAGGGGAAATTGAAATGAGAAAGCATCGCGTACTTTTTTCCCAGTGAGAAAAGTAGCAAGATTGACATTGACAAGTGCCTATATCCCCCAGTATACACTAAATATATTTTTATACTTCTGCAAATTGACTTTGGAGTTTGAAATTGGACTCGAGGTAAATGCTATAGAAAAAATTGTCCTGAGGATTTCAAAATATGGACGTATAGCAAACGTCTCAAGACGTGCATGTTAGCTAAGAAGCTCCTTAATTCTTGACAGTTCTTGATCCAAAGTGAAATGCTTTGGCGCTGGAAGTTGGCTTCTACACAGCCTTCAACTTTGGAATGGACCGAACACGTCGCCTGACGCTGGCATTTGCCGCAAGGGTTCTAGTTAGGCTTCTCCCTTACTTGAATTCTACACCATACTGCTATGTGCCACAAGGTTCTTATTAGGCTTCTCCCTTACTTGAATTCCACACCATATTGCCATGTGCCACAAGGGTTCTAGTTAGACTTCACCCTTATTAGAATTCCACATCATAATATATTCAGGAAAAACTGTTGTTAGGGACAACGTTTTCTTAAATTGTGAGACTTTCCTAAGGAACATGGATAAGTGTTTATCCATGTTCCTTTACAGGAAATGTATAAGTTTATTTCTCAGAATGTTTGGCAATATGTTTATTGTTCGTGATGTGTTTATATATGTATGAACACGTTGTACTGAACGGGGTGAGAATAGCTTGAGCTTCCTCATCCCTTGTGTGTATTTTACCTCATAGATCTTTATGAGTAGGGGTAGATCTTTAAAGAAAATGAGATCTATAGTTGATATCCTAAAAATCATCTTATCCTTAAAAACTAAGACCTCCAATTTAACCTCTTCCCACAGTGTCGACATTCCTAATGTTTACGAAGAGCAAATCATATATAAACAACAGGAAGCTGATAATGAACGAACTAGTTTTCAAAGAAAGTAAAAAGTTAATGTCAAAGTTAGTACACAAAAAACGTATGATAGAACGTAGCCAAAACAGAGGAACATTAAGACGGCCAACGCTCTCTGCCCACCAAGGTCTATATGTGTATATATGTTTATATATACAGCTGTGGCCAAGACTATCTGGCATTGTGAACTGAACTCGTGTTGGTGCAGGCCGTTGTTCTCTTGTGTTGGTGCAGGCCGGTGTTCTCTTGTGTTGGTGCAGGCCGGTGTTCTCTTGTGTTGGTGCAGGCCGGTGTTCTCTTGTGTTGGTGCAGGCCGGTGTTCTCTTGTGTTGGTGCAGGCCGGTGTTCTCTTGTGTTGGTGCAGGCCGTTGTTCTCTTGTGTTGCTGCAGGCCGTTGTTCTCTTGTGTTGGTGCAGGCCGCTGTTCTCTTGTGTTGG